ATTTCATATTTTTAACTTGTAAATTAATTTTAGAACAATTTTTAAATAATTTTAAAAGTTTTTAAATTCCTTGTTTTATTGTTGTGATTATTTTTTATGATTATTTTACTTCCTTTTATTTAAAGCACTTTGAATTACCATTGTGTATGAAATGTGCTATATAAATAAACTTGCCTCGCCTTGCCTTAGTTTAAAAAAAAAATACTTATTTAATCGCCCAAATAATCCACACATAAGTACATAAATGTATAAATAGCTCAACTTTTTGAATGTTAATGCACACACATCCCTCCCCTTTCATAAGATGCATGATTGTATTTTGACGCATTCACACAAATAGAGCAGACAGGATGCATCCACACATGACACATATACACATAAACAACATCATAATGCATGCTTGCCTTTTTATATTTCTATTAAAACCTCTCTGTTACTATGGAGAGCGGTTTGCGTGCCCAGTTTAGAGGGAGGCAGTGTGAAGCTGCAGTCACAGTTCATCAGAATGATGGTGGACAGACTGTCTCCTCACTGACATCCTCTCAAATAAATCCACTGACACTCATCAACTCAAATTATGAGCCACAGAGGCAAGTTTCCTATGTGACCATCATGTCAGCTTCTGCATGAGGCAACGTCTGAGGACTGAGTGCAGATGCTGGGGTTTAGCAGTGTCCAGGTAGCTTGATGACAGATGTGTTTCCATGAATAAATATGGATGAGTGGACAGACCATAAAATCTGTTAACACTGAAACTGCATTTTTTTATGAGCATGTGTAAAGTGTGTTCTCTGTAACTTCCTGTAATTACTCACTAACGTCCTTTTTTGATGAATAATTATTTCCAAAGGTACCTTTAATGTGCTTGATCTTATTTCACAGTGGCCAAATGTAGATCACTTTGATACAACTGCTGCCAGTAGTTTGGTTTAAATCAAATATTTACTTCAATACAAACTAGACCAAAGAATAAAATATGGGGAAAAACAAGCCATTGAAGCATCTCTTCTTTTACAATTTATATTTTTGTTTAACCGTTGTTTTTGCATTAAAAACAATATAATTAATTTTTTGATTAAAAAGTTTGAAAAATTGTTATTCATATTATTTTTTTTCATTTAATGCATTTTTAATATAAGACAGTTGGACATAAAGCTTTATACATATCCTTTATAAATCCTACATAAATCCTTTGGACTGTTTTATGGTCTGAGTCCTGATCTTTTCACTGACTATTATGTCAGTTTATACATCCATTTAGCCATTCATGCGGTCTAGAGCAATCAAGTCAACATGAAATGAACATGCTCCAACCTGTTGCTATGGTTACAGTTGCTAATGACTGACAGGATGACCTTTTTCTGGGCTGGGTTTATGAATCACACAAAGACCCCGTATCAACTCTATTATTGTGGCTCATGCTGTGAGAAGGGGCGAGCTGTAATCTGTGATGCTTCATTTCCTGTGCTGCTGCTGCACTGACTGCAGACAGAGGCACTCCTGAACACACAAACCACTATCTGATGTTCAGACTAATAATATGATTAAACAATACAAATAATACTATGCATATTATGCAAGATAACAGGCCGAGTGTCCATCACCGTTTCTCAAGCTTCGGACCCAGTTATGCAATGACCAGTGTATGAAGTCCTACAGCTTCACAGTCTCACATTGCAGGACTTAAAATCATTGAATGTACAAAATTAAGCTATGTCAGAGAATGGAGCGACTGATGGATCAGCCCGTGTTGTATTTTTGCGGAAATTAAGCTAAATTATGATATTCCCTTCCTTGTCGCTCATTCTTTATTGGCTCAATAAGGAAGATCCGCGCATTCACCCGTCAGTTTACACACTTGCTCTGCCTAGAAAACAGCTACGAACTATCGGAAACGACTCGGAAGGGAGACACTGACTTCTTATCAGCGCGCTTTTAATAGGGTCTAATATTGACATGGCGCGCGCTTCGTCTCGCCCTTTCCCTACGGAAAGGCACGCGCGCAAGAACATACACATTTACACTCACACGCACACTATAAAACACTTAACGTTACCGAATTTTTGATCTGCCGCGGAGGCGAGACCGGCCCGAAGCGCGAGGATGGTGAGAAACAGGTGAAACGATTCCATCCTTCCGATCACGCGTCCATCTCCTCCGCTCGTTATTAATAATCCATTCCAGCGGTGGGTTTCCTTCTTTGCGCGAGGTCTGAGATGATGGGGGATGGATGGAGACGGTGTGGAGATAGAGAGAAAAATGGGAAAGTGAAAAAAGAGAGACGTCAAGCGTAGGCAAAACCTGTCAGCGCGCACCGCAGTCCGCGCGACGCCAGAATCAGCACTGAACAGCAACCCGCCTCTGACGTCACGGACACACGCGCACACAAACACACTAGTGAGGCTGAAGTAGACAAAATTACAAAAAATGAGACCGCTTTTAAAAATTATTTTCCGTCTAATTGTGGTTAAATAACATGCAAAAGGCTATTTACGTTTTCATTTGATCTACACGTTTGTACTTTTTGAGGATAAGAAGTATAATTTGCATGATTGTTTTTGCATAATTTAGTACACACTATCTATCTATCTATGTTATTAGACAGAAAAATATTTGGGAAATAAAATAAAATCATTAACTTTAATATTGCTGAGGTAACATGTTTTATTTAGTTTTACCACATATACTAAAATAACAAAAAAAAAAAGATTTTTAAAAATAAATATATATATATATAAAGTCGCTTATATATATATACAGTATATAAAA